TGCACTGGTGAGAAAGGAATGGGCAAATCGGGCAAGCCGCTCCACTTCAAAGGATGCAAGTTCCACCGTATCATTCCAAACTTCATGATCCAAGGAGGTGATTTTACCCGTGGAAATGGAACCGGTGGGGAGTCCATCTATGGTGAGAAATTCCCTGATGAGAACTTCAAGGAGCGACACACTGGACCCGGTGTACTTTCCATGGTAAGCACTTTGTAGAGAGCAATTCTATTCAGCTAATCAAGGGGATCGAATGTATAATCTATGTCGATATCTCAGAATGTTAACTGCTTTGGATTTTTTTTGTGACGTTGAGCTCTTATTATGAGATTATGGTGATACATTTCAGGCTAATGCGGGACCAAACACGAACGGCTCGCAGTTCTTCCTGTGTACCGTGAAAACCGAATGGCTCGACGGCAAGCATGTCGTGTTCGGCCGCGTCGTCGAAGGCATGGATGTTGTAAAAACAATTGAGGGTTATGGATCGCAATCTGGCAAGCCATCAAAAGACTGCGTGATTGCAGACTGTGGACAGCTGTAGACGGCTGCCTGATCTCTGTTGTTTCTTCGTCATTCGTTTTCTTCTTCGTAATACCTTTGTGTGTTTACCGGTAACCGTCAAAAATTGTTGTATAATTTATTATTATGCATGATTAAGTAAAATCTAATAATTCGTAGTACTCTGGTTTTTATTTGCAGTAAATTTTGTGCTAAGCGATCAATACCAGGAAGGCTTTATTGAGTTGAGATTGTCACTGCCGTAAGGCGGATTTGATTCGTAATATCTACAGAGTGGCTTTGATAAATTGAGGGCATATCGATTTTGGGTTTTAGGACATTAATTGGAAGGAGGGGTGATGGATGTTTATAGCGTACATTTACTGCATCAAGCTTTTGTAAACCGAAGTAAGTCATCTTTGCATCAGATTTGGCTGTTAAGAGAAGATTGTGAAGTACAGTTTCTACCTCTGAATGGTCTAAGCAGATTATTAGTGATTCCCGTATTTGGTGCGCGTTGAATGTGCATATTTAGCATTTCGCTGAAATTTTTTCGCCACTATAACGTTATCTGCTTTCTGTGGTCAGTCGCGGAGCAGATAACGTTTGTTTGTTTTAGGAATACCATAATGGAGAGATTGCAAGGCCTCTCTTGAAGCAGGTGGTGCCATCATGATTTTCTCTTGCATCCCCTCCATATGCGCACTTACTCCAGCCGTATTTATTAAGCCCTGCCCCTCCCTGTTCTTTCCAATCGATAGATGGAATGGAACCCATCATTCAACTGTTTGCAAAAAGTGCCTACCTGTGTGTGCACAAGTATGTCAAGCGATGCTCGTCTCTTTACAATGACTCATCGCGAATTAAGTCCGTGTCGTCGATGGCGTTTTTACGGA